TAACTCACATATAAACTTTCAACATATATTTAATACTTTTATTAATACTGGTGTTAAAATCATGTTCATAAATGGGACTATGTACTCACTTGTTAAAGTGATGACTTGAAATTTGGGCAGCGCTTTGCTTCTAGCAACTGTTTTTTCCTTTGATGTAACCTAGCATTATTATCTCTACATTTTCGTCTAATATCTATTGAGACTAATTGTTAGTATAGATTCCTCATTAACTCAAAGTCTACTATTAAGATCAATCAAGTAAAGAACATCCAGGTAGTATCATATCGGAGGTAGAGTTCGTCTGGTATATGTAGTGTACTATTTGGAAATACCACTTTAAACACCTCACTAAATCACAACTTATATATCATCCCTGTAAGTAGATCAAACAATATAACGACTTGGAATCATGGATTAATATTGTTTATAGGTTCATAATAACGATAATGAACATTAAACCGGGCTCTGCGCGGGCAGAACTTATGAGCCGGAATCTCTTCTTCATGGAGCCTTCTGGCACTCAGGACTCGTATATAACACCTAGGAGGTGCTAGGGAAAATCCTTGAGGGTTTGGGGGGTGTTGAGAGAGAAGTGGATGATAATTGTTGTGGAGAAATGAGGAAAAACGAGTGCTACTTATAGGCTGCTAGCACCCGCGTACGATGAGCGAACATAAGGATACATTGGGCGTAATAGCCAAAACAGCAGTATGTTGGGCGTACTTTGAATTACGATGGGCGTACTCAGTCTAGGTGTCGCAATCTTGTTCCAAGCCGTCGGGAGGAAGGGTTGGCCCAAATCTTAACACGTATCACTCGTTAGTTAATCCTAAACATTAGTTAACTTCTAAATTCCATAACTTTTACATACGAGCTCAAGTTTTTGACGTTCTTTATATCCACGTGTAGGTAGCGACGTGCTCTACAACTTTTTTTAGACTCCAACGGCTAATTTTGACTTTTTTTAAAAGTTATATTTTAACAGGCTTAGATAAATCTGTTAAAAAATCATAACTTTGTCATCCGATGTTCGTTTTTGTCTGTTTTTATACCTTTGAGCTCCTACTAATGAGATATTCGATTCTCATTTAAGTTGTGTCGGCTAAAAATCGATCGATCAAAAATTCAATTTCCGGGCTGCATACTGCTATGCCAAATCTTAGAAAAACCATAACTTCGTCTAACGAAGTCAGATCTGAACGTTTTGTATATGCACGCTCTCGATTTAACGTATACTAAGACTCTCATTTAGATCGCTACGGTTAAAAAGTATTTTATCGCAAACTCGCTTTTTACGATACACATCGTCGTGCTGGTTTAGTCGTAAAACTTCGACGGTTCATAACTTCTTCGTTATAAGTTAGATTTCAGCATTCTTTATATGTATGGAATCCTTCTGACATATGCTATAACTTGGTTAAGATTATTTACTCTAAATAACCTTCTATCAAAAGTCATTTTTGACGCTTATTGTCTCTCAATTGACTAGCCCGAATCTGCGGTATTACAAAAAAGCATACATAATTTTTTTAGAACCCCCAAAAATTCAATAATTTCTACCAAGGTACCTTTAGTAATTTACAATTTTTTTCCCTAGCCAACCAAGGGGTGCTGCCCTTTGGAACCTCGCAAGGGTGGTACAATCTCCTTGACCCCAACTATTTTGGTCATAACGAAATCAATCTATATTAATACAAGTGTGCACTCCACACCTCCAACATTGTATTAAAACTACGATATAATCCCCTTTGAAATATGCATAAAGTCCAATACATAGAATGAATCAGTAACGCTAAAATCACCCCAATGAATGCCTTGTTACCTATCTCAAACACATATAATCATTTTATACCATCAACCTACAACTACCAATGTAAGACATAATTTTGTAAAGCAACAATATAAAAACGTTTCTATCTAAAAAAATATTTATACAAATAATTTGAGTTTAATATATTGTGGATAACTAGGTTAGAAGTAGTATTAATGTTTCCTTTATTTGTTTATATGTGTATGAGACCTCATGCAGGATGCCCCTTGGTGTCATGCTTAAGAAAAAAAAAACAATTTTTAGTTACATTAGTTTACTTTCAACATTTAACTGAGATGAATTAAAAAAAACTTCAGAAATGCAAATATATGTAGACCCCATATTAACTTTATAAAAGAGCCCTTGTAGAGAGATGAGAGACTCCAACATATATAGTCACTTATAAGACCGTGTCACACCAATGTGGGATACAATAACACTTTTATCTTTATTCGGAGGATTGATGAGAATAGAAAGGGATGTGCTGAGGCAAAGGGGTGCTATACACCGACTCTAATACCATGTAAATATATGTGGAGCCCATATTAACTCTTTGAAAGATCCTTTGCAGAGAAGAGAGATTCCAATATATATATATATATATATATATATATATATATATATATATATATATATCCACTTATAAGACCTTATCACACCTATGTGGGATACACTAACAAGAAACATGATAATTAATTATTGATGGGTTATCAAGATTACTTCTATGTACTTGTAGAATTTCACATAACAATTATAGGCACATGCAACCTAGAAATTCTATGGATTTTCAAATAATAGCAACGTACTTTGAAAACCTAAATAACCCTAGCTAAAATCAAAAATTACAAAGTTTAGGTTACATACCTTTTGTTATAATCGAAAATAACAACCAACTTTGAAGAACCCTTCTTTGGAATGCTAGCCCTAATAATGTGGAAGCCTCTAATGTATCACTCCTAAACCCTAGGAAACCCTAAGATCGAAATAAGAGAGAGGGGAGAGGGGAGAAAAATGATTTCTCTATGTGAGAAGGATGGATTGATTTTGGCCCAGGGTTAAGACCATTTATATAGCTGTCAGATAACACTTAAACCCTAGATTTGAATAATAAATTAATATTATTTATACCTATTCAAATCTTGTTTCATTAATATTATTTTATACCTATTCAAATCTTTTTTTTTTAAAACGTCTATAAGATGGAGGGTTCTAGAATTGCCTTCCTTTTTCAATTATTAAACAATTGCGATTCAACTATTGCACCATTTATTATTTCTAATTAACCCAATATTAATTCCAATTAGTTATGTTTAATTATTAATTAATTATTACTATTTGTAATTAATATATTAATAAATCTTTTACCTCTCTCTTAATAGCAACCCAAGAAGGCTTTACTTTTTTCATTATACTAATTTATTTAGGACCTTAGAAACCTTAATCTAACAATCTCTCACTTGGATAAGTCGTCAACTAGAATTGCAAGTATAAATCTCTAACTAACAAGTAGATAGTGCATTCCAAAGCCATTGTCGAACTCAGATTAAAATAGACGTTGGCCCTAATATAATCGATCAACTATTCCTTCTATCTATAAGATATCATATGGACATAAGACACGAATATAAATCAATCTCATAGTCAAAGATTCTATTTCCCGATTTCTGATTTATGACTACTAGATTCAGATCACTAATTAAACACATCAATTTAGTATGGGCATGGCCAAACACTTCAGATATCAGCAACAAATCGTTGAGGTGCCTAAAGATATAACTTTTATGTTGAGGCAAAATGAACGAATAAACTTTGACTATATAAGCATACCTTTCACTCATCATGTCATATATGGAATTACACTTTATGACATCTTGTTACGAATGCGTTGATGCAAAATAGTATACAACAGACTTGGAAACTATGACTTATATATCTTCGTTTGAAGAATAAAATATATTATCGTCTTATAATTACTCGTGATTGAATATATGAATTAATATCTAAGCGTGAGTTTAACCAACAATCAAAATTCATAGTTTCTAAGTACTCATGAATCTTGCAGCAATCCCTATGCAATGTCCAATTATCATGGACAATCTACAAATATTTCATCACAATCTTAAATCAATACGGACTCCCAAAAATATGAATAACTATGACATTTTGAATAAATTAATATTCAGGAAGTAACACACAAAATGAAACAAAATGATAAATTAATTGTCTGTGTTATCATACTCTTTGAATATAAATAATTCCCTATTATCTAATCACCACACAGTTACACATTTATTGTTTGTATAAATGTTTCGGGGTCATCGACTCAATGACTAAACTATAGGAAAGATGTGACATTTGGGTTTTTTTTCCAGGATACTCCTATAATTAAACTAAAAGACCATCGTTTGGTAAAAAAATTATAGGTTAATTCTTAATATTTTATGTTTCTAAAAAGCTTTCAATGGAGATGCTTATAGGTTAAACTTAGGCCCAATTAGTCCATGAGGCCACAAGTTGTTGCACACATCGCACATAGTTTAGGCGTCAATGAGAGAGGATAGACTAGTCGTACATGAAACCTATCTAAAAAGTTAATCTCTGAAAGGTAGGTTAAAACCATCTAAAATGAATCAAGAAACTTACATTTAAGAGAAATTGAGGAATCTAACCATAATTTAATGTGTATTTGAAAACAAATAACCACAAAAATTGTTTTCGACAAAAATAACCACTTAATTCGGAATGAGTACTCCATACCGAGATAAAAATTATTTTTCTGACAAAAATGTACATTTTGAACTAACATTTTGGAACTTCGAACCAACATTCTGGATTCCGAACCAACATTCTGGCTTCCGAACAGAAATTTCGGAGTTCGAAAAAAAAAAATTTATAGTTTCAAAAACAACTTTGAAATCCAAGGGTCAATTCCGAAAATTCGAAAAAAAAAAATTGTGTTTTACTTAAATACAACCCAAAAGTTAAACAGATAATAGTAAATGTGAATTATATTCAATATTAGAGAATAAAATCATAAATTTGATTGAAAAACGGTGAAATTAAACACTTCGAAATTGATATTTCAGATATAAGTAAAGAGATTTCTTTGAAAAAAAAAAAACCTCTTGGAATTTGAAAATCAAATCCAAAATAGAGCATTTTGGAGTAAGTGATGGTTTAACTGAATAAAATGTTTATTTTTTTTAAAAACTCATTAGAAGGTTAGTGTACTCAAGATTCCTATATTTCATGGCTATCGTAGTAAGCAAGATTTAATACAAGTTTTTGTTGGTATTGCAGGGTCCGGCGTTTCGGTTAAGATAATGAGTACGTTTATCCTCTTATCTGTTATAATTTGATTTGAATTTCCAAAGGTTGTGGTGATTGGAGGTTTCCTTTAATTAAATGCGATAAGGAAAACGAAGACAATGGTTGCATTTTGTGATAAATATTTATATTAGAATTTTTTTTCAAGGCTATTTCTGAGGCAGTAACTTTTTCTTTGTTTGCAGTTCTAGGAATTCTATCGGCAATATCACTATCAATTGTGTTGATGTGCATTTGCAGTATGAAATCCTCACTAAGAAGCAATTGTGTTGTCTTATCTAATCATCCAACTGCGGACGAGAATAGCATTGAGGCCTTTGTCATACAATATGGATCGTTGAGTGCAAAAAGATACACATATGCTGATATTAACGACATGACAAACTCATTTGAAGTTAAATTAGGACAAGGAGGTTTCGGTACTGTGTTTAAAGGGAAACTTTCAGATGGACGTCTTGTGGCTGTAAAAGTTTTGAACTCATCAAAAGCAACTGGGCAAGAATTCATAAACGAAGTTGCAAGCATTGGTAGGACATCTCATGTTAACATTGTTACTCTTTTGGGATTTTGTTTTGAGCATCAAAAAGGAGCTCTCGTATATGAGTTCATGCCAAATGGATCGTTAGAAAAGTTTATATATGGTCGTGTTTGTCCAAATACAAGCAAACCCATAGGTGTAGACAAGTTATATGAGATAGCCATTGGAATTGCACGAGGTCTTGACTACTTGCATCGTGGCTGCAACACTCGAATTTTGCATCTTGACATAAAGCCACATAATATCCTCCTTGATGAAGACTTTTGCCCAAAGATAGCAGATTTTGGGCTTGCAAAATTATACTCTAGGAAAGACAGTATCGTATCTATGTTAGAGGCTAGAGGCACTATTGGGTATATTGCCCCTGAAGTTGTTAATAGAAACTTCGGAGGTGTCTCCCATAAATCGGATGTCTATAGTTATGGGATGTTAATACTAGAAATGGTTGGGGGAAGGAAAAATGTTGATGCTGGTGTTGGTTCTGGGCATACGAGTGAGATATATTTCCCTCATTGGATTTACAACCGTCTGAAGAAGGATAAAATCTTATTAGATGGTGTGACAACTATAGAGGAAAATGATTATGCTAGAAAAATGACAATAGTCGGCTTATGGTGCATACAAACTGATCCAAAACAAAGGCCATCCATCAATGGAGTGATTGAAATGTTAGAAGGAAACATGGAGTCACTGGAAATTCCACCAAAACCATTCTTTTCTTCTCTTCCACGATCACAAGCCACCATATGTAACACATCAGAGGACGTCAGTATGGATCACTGTAGTATAAAAGAAGTATGAAATACTAACGCACTCATTGCATGCATGATGGTTTCATATTTTTCGAAGATATAAAGTTTGATGAAAAATTTCTTATTTTTAGGTATTGATATATCTTCTGACAATGTTTTTGTTCAAAGACTTTTTGAGAGGTTATTAAGCCATTTATCTTTGGTTCTTTTTAATATTATTCTCTAGTCCAATTTGTAGACTTGGTGGTTATAAAACATATTTTATCCTTTTCAGTTGTATACTTTTATGTAAGGATGAGCTTTTAATGAAGAAAAAAAGTAGGACGTTATATTTAATTTTATGTAGCATGCTTTAATTAAATCTATAATTAATCGCTGTATGTTCTTTTAAACTAATGTATTACGGACAAAATTTACTGAGAATAAAGTGGGAATCATTTAATCATTTCAAAACATATATATATATATATATATATATATATATATATATATATATATATATATATATATATATATATATATATATATATATAGAGAGAGAGAGAGAGAGAGAGAGAGAGAAAATTGCAAGAATGGTCCCTGTGGTATGTCAAACTAGCACCTTTGGTCCAAAATGGGTTTAGCTTGCAATGATGGTCCAATAATTTTGTTTTGTTGCGAGTTTTATCCAATTTCCTATGAACTTTTTTATAATGACAAATTCACCCTTATATTTTAATTTTCCATTTTTATTTTATTATCAATAATTAAAAATAAAACACAAATAAAATACCCTCTCTCTCTCTCTCTCTCTCTCCACCGTATTCGCCCTATATTTTTTTTTCTTTTTACCCAAGAACAGTTCATCTTCTTCATCCCTCCCCTGCCTATCTGATATGTCTTCTTCGACAATTTCAAAGAAATCAGTTCAAAACAATTTCAAAATCAAACATGCTGCAACCTCTCAGTGACCTATGTGAGAATACAATCGCCGGAAAACACATCTTTTCTCTTGCATGACCCACCCGCTTGACCCTCAACATCACCTATTATATTTGGCCATCATCCATCGTACCTCGCCCATCACCTAAACCAGGTAACATCTCCGACGAATACCAACAACACCATTGCCTCCTAGTTCAAACCACTATACCTGGCTTTTCTCTCATTTTCGTTTAGAGCTACAATGCCACTGTTATCGTTGTTCTTCTACAGGAGTCATCTTCTACGCCTAAAATTGATACACACACCGATTTAGAGAAGAACAAGAGAGAGCGACATGATTGGTATTTGATTCAATAATTGGAAAGGACACAAAAATTTCTAGGTTGTAAATCGTAATCCCTTTCATATGTAAATCATAATCTCTTTAACTTGTACTGATTTAGGGTATACGGTGTCTGCGATTCAGGGAGAGGGATAAAAGGGGTGCAGTTTACCTTCATCTTTATGTTTATTGAGTTGTTTGTGTGCTTGTGGGTTTGAATTAGGCAATTCATAGAAGAAATTGATTCCGATGGTGGTGATTGCAGTTCATCAGAAATCGATTTCTTAGTTCGTGAATATGATGTTCTTGTTCTTGAACTAAGGAAAAACCGAGTGTTCTTGAGATTCATATGCATATATGAGTGTGTATGTGTTTAGTCTATTCGACTTCATACAATGAATTGAACAAAACTAATAAAAGTTAGGGTTCTTCATTTTACAAATCCACTACCAGATCTGTATTAATTTTGTTTGTAGAGAGAGAGAGAAAGAGAGAGAGAGAGAGAGAGAGAGAGAGAGAAAGAAAGATAAAGAGAAAGAGAAAGAGAGAGAGAGAGAGAGAGAGAGAGAGAAAGAGAAAGATAAAGAGAAAGAGAAAGAGAGAGAGAAAGAGAGAGAGAGAGAGAGAGAGAGAAGGAGAGAGAGTATTTTATTTTTGTTTTATTTTTAATTGTTTTTTAATTATTGATAATAAAATAAAAATAGAAAATTAAAATATAAGGGCAAATCCGTCATTATAAAAAAATTCATAGGAAATTGGACCAAACTCGTAACAAAACGAAACTATTGGACCATCCTTGCGAGCCAAACCCATTTTGGACCAAAGGTGCTAGTTTTGACATACCACAAGGATCATTCTTGCAATTTTGTCATATATATATATATATATATATATATATATATATATATATATATATATATATATATATATATATATATATATATATATACTAGTCGGATACCCGCGCGATGCGGCGACGACGATTAGTTTCATTTTTTCGATTAGTTTTCAGACGAAAGTTAGTTCCATTACGACAGTCATCAAATTGTTACCTTTCAATTTGTTCCTAGTTAACATAAATTAAGACTTGTATTGATTATAAAAAATAGCTTATGTGAATGTTTTCAAAAAATGGTACTAACATATGTTGGGATAACTTAAGTTAATTTTTTTCCAGCAATAAAGTTCAGCTAAGTTCAGCAAGTAATTCATCGTTCTTGTTCTTTTCTTCTTCATTGTTCAGTTCATACCTTGGGCACCAAGGTAATATAAAGTGGTATACCTACACTTGGTATCAGAGCCTAGGGCTCGTGAAAGCATAGGGCAGTTGGTTTGAGAGTCGGTTTCAAGAAAACTATGAACTAATAACCAAATAAAAAAATCATGTAAATTTTTTGTCTTTTATTTTACCCAGTTTTTTCTAGTCCAATTTTGGTCTAGCGGTATTTTTCGTTCATATTTTTGGCTCAAATTCGATTTTTTTTTTAGTTCAATATCAGTTTAGTTTTTTTTTTTTTTTTTTTTTTCACTTTTATGGATTTTGATGTTCATGTTGTCATTTGAGCTTAATCTATTCTTTTATATTGGTTAAAGTTTGTAAAACTCGATATAATCAAATTTTATGTAACATTATTCTTTTGTCATATTACATCAAACTAAAAATAAACATTTCACTTTATGTTATGAAATTTTTGTAGATATCTTGATTAATTTGTAACAGCCCGTCATTTCAAGTCAGTAAAAATCGAGTCCTGTAACCTCTTTGAGAAAGGAATTAGAATATCATCAAAAAATGAAGTATTCAAAAACTCTATTTGGAGTACGCTATGTGGTAGGTATCGTCTTAAGGTTTCCAAACATATAAATAACACAAAAATCCGAGTTATAACGAAGAAGTTATGATCATTCTAAGTTTTCCGACAAAAACCGGCAATACGAAGTTACGTAAAAACGCAAAGTTTCAATAAAACACTTTCTGACCTTAGGTGTCTAAATGAAAGTCATAGATATCGTTAAACTACAAACGTGCATAAAAAGAACGCTCAAATCGGACATCGTATGAAAAAGTTATGAATTTTTAAAGAAATTCCTTAATCACGTCATTTTAATAAATAAATAATAAAAATAATTTCGGAATTTGCCGACGGAATCTAAACGAAAGTTGTAGATCTTAGTCTCACCTTCGCGTGGATATAAAGAACGTCGAAAACGGAGTTCGTATGAGAAATATATAAATTTTTGAAGTTAATTAAATAAATTATATATAAAAATAAATCAAAAATCCGGTAATATCCGAAGGAGGAGTCAGCGTCCTCATCCGAGTTACGCGCCGCGTAACCTCGTACGCCCTGCGTACTCGAGGCCACGGCCTCAGATCGTCCACGTCGCCCCTATGCGAACCTACCCCCCCCCCCCCCCGTCCCGTCCGAAGCGCGATGCAGCCGAGGATGCGGTCAGCGATGACGTCCCGTACGCGCCGCGTACGTGTGCCTTCCAGCCCCCTGTGAAAGGGATGCGAGGGTTCCCGGAAAAATTGATCATTCACTCTCCTTTTTCTTGCGTTTTGCCTCGTTTTCCGAGCTCGCACTACCCTGAAGCCCTGGTCATTTTGTGCAAGTCCCGAAGGTCGATTTTACTCCCGAGAAATCCCGAGAATCCCGAGGAAAATCCATTTCCCGAGACGAAACTCTGCCCGGTTTTCCATCTTGCTATCTTCAAACTTTCAAGTGAGTTCATACCCCTTTCAAACACACTTTAAATACATTTTAAATGCTTTTATACTCTTTTAGGGGGGGAATACAAGTAAACATACGGTTATTATCGTGTATTTTATAAAGTTTCACTTCGCTTGTTTTACCGAACAAATCACTTAGAACTCATTACTATTATGAAAAACTCTTGTCATACTTTGTGTGCATTAGAATTATGCAAAGTATATAATGATTTCAAAGTACTTTTCGTGGTTAAGTCGTTTTATACATTCTAAAGACTTGTGATTTATGCTTTGTTAAACATTGTGAAAAAGGATAAACTTGCTACAAAAACTATCACTTTAATACAGGCTTAGTTGAGAATCCATGAGACGTGTATATCTTCAAACGTTACTTTTCTTTATTAGAAAGTAATGCTGCAAGTCCTGTCTATAACCAGAGTCTCCCGTTCGGAGAACGTGTCAAATGTGTATAGATCTATACGGGAAGTCATGATCCCGCGCCCTGACTGTTAGCTACAGTCCGTCCTTTGGGGTGACAGTTGTCATAACGCTGCGACGCCTGAAGAACGTCGTTACAGGCATATTATGTTTAGTATGGTTATAAAACTCATCGGATATACAATTATTATGGTATTATGCTTTTATGAACGAGTACTGTTAAAACTATTCTTCATCTAACAAATGCGATCTTCGTATAGCTTTATTATATAAAACTATGACACAACTTTTAAGAACGTCGTTTTCTTGCGATTTTCGGTCTTAGAGACTGCCAGTCATGTTAGGAAAATAAGGGTTTTTCCTGTATACAAACCAAACAACTAATAGGAAGATAAGGGATTTTCCTGGTGCAATTATTTACAACTTATGACACGAACATTCATATGCATTTCATACTTTTATAAGAAAATAAGGGTTTTTCTTGGAAGACACAACAAATCATATCTCAACCATTAGGGAAAATATGGGATTTTCTGGATCTAATACATTCATTTTCAACACAACAAGTCATAACTCTTCACACTTGAAATACTGAGTTTTCTGGAAAACATACACCCATTTTGGAATGGCATCCAATTTTTCTAAACTACTT